CCTGCTGTTACCGACAGGTTCCTCAATGAATGGAAGCTAACTTTGAAACATCCAACTCAGTTCTAAACTTTCTATCGTTCTAGGCCAAAGCCATAACTAACGGGCTCATCAACAGATAACCTCACCATGTGCTTACGGTTCCTCCTTTTTCTGTTGATGGCCCCGTGCTTACACCCTTAGTTTGCAGGGTTGTCTTGTATATACTTGTTTTGTTTTGAAGCCTGTTCAAAACTTTACGCAGTGAAGCCAAGCCATAATGTTTTGAGTGGGAAGGATAACTCACTTAACGGAGCAGTCCACGTTGTTTGACATGCTGACTGTAACCAGCTTATGCCAGCTCTGAATTACTGAAAGAGAACAGCATTGGTAATCTGAAGGTATGGGGGATGTCACAGAAAGGTCAGGTGTAGACAGAAAATAAGAGAGAGAAGAGGGGAATATTGAAGGATGTCGTAGGTGGATGGAGGGAAGTGTTTGGTGTCAAAACGTTGAGAGAGGAGAAGCAGGTGGTGATACATGACAAGGTTGATGCGTTTCGATAGTCTTAAGCAAAGAAATGAAGAAAGGCCGCTAATGACGGCACGGAAAATCAGTGTTCTAAGAGCTACAATTTAAATCAAGAGCATAATGAGGTTACTCCACGGTTCTCAGTTACCTTAGAAAATTGAATTAGAGAAAAATTACAAAAAATTAAGGGTAACAATTTGCTGCGTTTGGGTTAATTCAATTATCAACGTCTTTAATTACCTTGTGTTTACCATTAATTGTAATAGCCATTATTGTATGTATGGGTTGTTGTATCTTACAGTTTGTTAAAGAGCGATTCATTAAGCTATCTGCTTATGTATACATTCGTTTGCCACCTGAATCCAGTAATGATGATGAGTTTCGGGAGGAAAATTATCTATAACTAGAACTCTTAATCTATCGTGTCATGACTAAGGAGGCACAAAAATCGCCACCGACACAACAAAATCTCAGGTATTAGAGAGGGATGGACGCATCCTTATGCCTCTTAACCCCTCTAATCCCCATTATTACCTGGATAAGGCCTTTTGTTTGCATTGGTATTTGTGTATGTGTTAGTTATTGTTTTATGCAATACCTTAAGAACAACTTGTTCCGTTATCAGCTTTTGTATATACCCATTTGCCAATTGATCCCAGTCTTGAAGATGTAAACGATCTGCAGATGCTGTAATACAGCTGTGCTATAGGCAAGGGGGCATGTCAGAACCCATTAATTAGATGCCTATAGCACAGAGGAAAATTGGTATAGCACAGAGGAGAATTCCATTAGTTTGATACATATGGCACAGTTTTGCTGTCAATCATTCTGGTGGCAGTAACTAGGTCACAGTGGAAAATTCCGCTATGCCTGAACCCAATAACCAAATGCTACAGCAGTGGAAAATTACAGCTTAGAAAAAGTTCCCGCCATCCTCATGCAAATACGTACACCACAATTGGCCGGTTCCAAATTATTCATATTTGGCGACTAGCGATTGGCTTGCTAGCCATATAAAAGTTAAGAGCAGTTTCCGCCCAGGTTGGAGTGCTCCGTACAAACCTCGGAGACCTCTGAGCACGCCGTGGAGAACTCCGAGCACATGAGAGAGTGAGAACTCTGTATACATCTTGGAGACCTCAGAGAACACCTCAGAGAGGCAACTTGGAGGACTGATCAACCACCAAGAACTCCCTGTCACCGACCCAAGTTTAGACGTAA